AACCTTGGTGGTGTAGTGGTAAGGTGCTACGGCTGCTAACCAAAAGGTCAGCAGTTCAAATCCACCAGGTGCTCCTTGGAAATTTTATGGGATAGTTCTACTGTCCTATAAGGTTGCTATGAGTCAGAATTGACTAGACGGCAGTGGATTTGGTTTTGGTTTTAGCATATATACCTAGGTGTGGGATTACTGGATCATAGGGTAGTTCTATTTCTAGTTTTTTGAGAAAGCACCATACTGTTTTCCATAGTGGTTGTACCATTTTACGGTTCCACCAGCTATGGATAAAGGTTCCAATTTCAGAGTGGAGACTCTTGAGTCTGGGTTCGCCATTCCACAGTTTCCTCCATGGCACTGAATGTCGAATGGAATTGGGCCATGGTTCTGGTGCTGTGCACCTAGCCCGGCACTTCCACCCTGAGAGACCCAGCTGCCAGTTCCTGGAGGGCCCATAATGTGCCCTTTTTCTAACCATCCAATCATTGTCCTGGCCAAGCCACTTAGGACACATCATTCCTGTGGCCACTAGGCCCTGCAGGGGCTCTTTCTTCTGCTTTCTGTCCCCTCTGCTGGGCGTCTCTCTGCTGCTGTGTTTGAATCCTTGCCCAGGCAGTGGTGCATTGGCAGGGGTCACCGAGGAGCACCTCTGCCTCTGTTGGAGCATCCCACACTGGAGGATAGAGTTGCCATAGGTGCCATTGGCCCACCCAGGAAACATTCCCTTGGTCTATAAGGTACAATCTGAGTTTGCCACAGCCCAGAATGGCAGCTTCAGGCCAGGCGGTGATACCAGGCTCACTGAGTGCTTGTTTTAAGCTCTCAGTTCCATTCACTTGCTTGATTCCTTGATGTTTCCAGCCTGTACCCCCATTGTTTGGGTCTACACCAGTGACACTTTCTTCCCTGCCCAGGTTTGGAACAGGTTGAAAGATAAAACAAGGGAGAAGACTGGGTGATGAGAATGCCATCTGGACAGCAGAGAGAGCTGCTCTGGAGAACTTGGACAGGCTGCCCCGAGGGCTGGCCGTGCCAGGCCCGAGGGAGGCTGAGCCCTGGCCCAGTAGGCATTTCAGGGTTGGCTTGGAGAGCTGAGGACGTGGGCTGGTTAGGAGCAGGCCTGCTCCCAACATGGTAAAGAAGTAACGGTGTGTGTGCCCCACCTATTTTTCTTCAGTAGCATCCTTTTTGGGTATGTTTTCTTGTTCCATCCCTTCTCCTTGCCTGCTCCCTGTTTGTGCTTATGCTACCGTGGACAATGTGATAATCATAACTAAGATTTACTGAGCCCTGGTGGCACAGAGGTTAAGTGCTCGACTGCTTACTGAAGGTCGGTGGTTCAAACCTACCAGCTGCTCTGCGGGAGAGAAGATTTGGCAGTCTGCTTCCGTAAAGATTACAGCCTTGGAAACCCTATAGGGCAGTTCTGCTTTTCTCTTTAAGGTCACCATGAGTTGGAATTGACTTGACGGCAGTGGGTTTTTAAGATTTACTGGGTGCTGTCTGGGCCCTCTGCCCAGCCCTCTGCTTGTGCTCACTCAGGCACATCCTCCCACCCATCCCAGGACAACTGTTTTCCCAGGTGTGGGGGTCTTCCTGGCATTTTCTGGCAAGTTAGTCAAGCATTTCAAAGGGGCCTCAAGAGCCACCCTTGCAGTTAAATGGTAAGTAACAAATAAGGTAGTTCTGGGTCGTGGTGTTGGGGCCTCATGTAGCTGGAGTCTTTCCGGTTGGGTTCAGCTCCAGCTGGGCGTTTTCCCTGTTGTAACATGTTGCATAAACACGTCTGACACGTGCTGGTCCTTCAGCTCTGGATCCCATCCTGGGACTTACGTTTAAGAACAGCTTGATTCTATCACTGTAGGAGCCCAGATGGAGTTTTGTAGATACGTTTTTATCTTTTAAGATTATTTTAGAAAACGTATTTATTTTCCTTGGCCAATATAATTTTTCTTGGGGCTTTACTTTTTGATCTGGACTGGAAAAAATGTTCCCATTTTAAGACCTCTTAAAACATTTCTTTTGGATTTATTGTCTGTACAAATGGAAATTCAGATAATAGTTCTATTCTGAACTGAGGAAAAACAGGAAAAGAAAATATATTTCTTGCTATTTGGAATGATAAACATGGTGAAGCATATGCCGTATATCCTGGCAACAGAAATTCAAAGTCGGAAATAATTCCTTACCTCCTGAGTCTGCCTTCAGCTTCCCTGAGGAGTGCAGTGGCTGAAATTTGCTACTAATTGTAGCCATAACTTTAGCATGCAATTAAACACATGATTTCCTTCCCAGCTGAGGTCTTTTTAGCTAGTCTGACATGGATAAAATGGAGAGCTTGGTTTATTTGAATGGCCACTTTCATCTGATAGTAGGTCACAGAAAGTCACTGTTATTTGAGCATGTTTGGCTACCCAGTAGGAACTAGATCAGTCTGGCCTGTAAAAATGGCGAACAGCTCAGGTACTTTCTGTACAGGTTCTAGGGCTGCTATCTGTGGGTGTAAGGAAACCAATATTTAGTGTGTCCATTTTGCTATAACCCTCCACGAGGTTAAGGATCATTGGGAGGGTGCGACCCAGGTGGGGAAGAATCTGAGGTGGATGTTGTAGTGGCAGGGAGCAGGGGCGCCTGAAAATTGCCTCAGGTGTGCAAGGAAACCCAGGCCTGAGGCCCGGAGAGCCTATCGGGCCTGGAAGCAGAGCCGCTCTCCAGGGTGGCCACAGGAACAGGAGAGGCTTCAGGCCCCGCCTGCCCGCCGTGGCATTGGTGGGCCTATTCCCTGCTTTTCTCATCTTCTCCCGGAGGGTCATCTGCACAGTGCAAGGATGTTCCGTGTGAAGTGAGGGCTCCCTGCCCAGGGAAGTTTGGGAAACGCTGGAGTAAAAGAAACAAAACAGGTTTCTATACTCAAGGATGTCCTGAGAACCTTAACATGCTGCTGTACTTCATGATTGTGCAACGGAGAGTTAAAACAACCGTGATTTCCAAAAGTATTGAAGGCACACCAGGCCAGGCAGTTTGGGTGGCGTTGCTCTACTTGTATGGACCCTCTTGAACTTACCTTTTGGTTTTGCAATGTCATATGCTAGCCACCGTCCCAAGCACTTGACATGTACTGCCTTATTTAATTTTCACCGTGATTTAAGTCCTGTTATTAATACCTGGGTTACCAATGAGAAACCGAGGCATTGAGAGGTTAATAAATTTGCCCCAGGCCACATAGCTAGTACTGGGCTGGGCCTCTCCTCTTGCAGCCTGATTCCTGGTTGCTGTTTTAGACTTAGACTGTGTGTAGCCTCATCCAAGAAGGCTCTTCTGATTCCCTCCCCAGGTTAGGGATTCAGTCCCTCTTCTGGCCTCGAGGGCCAGAATCTGGCATGGTCGTCAGTGTGCTGCCCCATCTCTGTGATGCCCATCTGTCCCCCACATTAGACTATGGGCTCATGAGTGCCAACCAGGGCTGTCTGGGCCTTTGAGCTGGTCTTTGGTATCTAGCATTGCACTTGGCACATAGGTGCCAACTACGAGTGAGAAACGATGAGTGATTTCCAAATACGGACTGGATTTCATATGCTCTTTGCTCCTTAGTGGTGGGTGGTGACAAAAGAATCTTCTCTTAATTTTGGATTAGACATTTTATGAGACGTGGTGTACACGTAACCCTCTCTAGTTGTCAGGAACAGTGTGTTCCCTCTCCTGAACGTCAGTATATGGCATTAGCATGCTTAGACCCAGCGTTTAACAGAGGTTCTGATTGTTCTGCAGCATCATCTGTCCAAGCATTTTTTTGGCTTTCTTTATAAATGTAATTCAACATTTTGGACTTGATCATAAACAAATGCATGGGTAGGGTGTCACAGCAGAAGGTTTGGAGCTCTTCCTCATAGGCATAGTGAGGTGCTCTGTGGGGGCAGCACAGTGGGCTGGTTTGACCACATAGCCCGGGAAACAGGGTGGTTCTGCTGCCTCGCTTGGGTGGGTGGGTGGGGTATGTGGGGCAGGGGCAGATGAGTGTCTTGGACCCTGTGCCCCAGCTTTGGGCATCATGTCCTGTGAGGGGTGAGGTGTCTCCTCAGCTCTCCCCCTGTGGTGGCTTCTGTAGGGTGACCTGCCTTTTGACTCCACCAGTGAGGGAGCAGAGCCCCCTCTGCCCACACGTTCCACCCAGGGAAGCATGTGGGCCATTGAGCAGCAATTTTATGAGGTTATTTTGGGGAATCTCCTAATATTTCTTTCCCTTTTAGATTTAATTTGTTAAAAAAATTTAATTATGAAACATACTGAAAATAGGTATCAGTGTACTCGCTATCCAGTTTCTCCCATTGACTTCAGGAGCCCCCCCACCCCCCGGGTCTCTCTCTTCCTCTCTGAAAAGCCCACCACCAGCTGCCTTCTCTTTAGTATGTTACTGCTATCCTGTGTTAGGCTTTCATAAGCGGAAAGGTCGTACTATGTTTTTACAGGTTAGCCATGTTGATGGATGTACCTCTAATTTGTCTGCTGTATAGTATTTTATTGAATAACTAAGGTAGTATTTATGCATACATTACTGAGGGACAGTTAGATTGTTTCTACTTTTTTCTTTTATAAACACCCTTGAGCATTTTCCCTTGTTGAAGTGTATAAGAGTTTCTAGGGTAGGCTCCCCACGTTGTCTAGGGTTTAGTCAACGTGAACTTTACTGATACAGCACCAAAATGCCCTCTGAAGTGGTTATACCAGTTTACTTCTCCACCGTTTTGCATTTATGTTAACCCATGTTCTTTCCAGCACTGGTGTTACCAGACCTTGTAGCTCTGGTCAAGTCTGTTGGGTATGCAGCAGCACCTCTGCTGTTTAATTGTGCATTTCCCTCATTACTTGTGGAATTGGCCACCTTTTCCTGCATTGACTGTCCAGTACGACTCTCCAGGTGTCTGATTACCCTGGCCTGGGTGTGTTTATTAGACAGTGTAATCTGGTGTCTCCACCTCTTGTAACAGTTTGACTTGCTCTTTCAGATGGCAAGTTTGGTGCCTACATGCAAGTTCACATTCAGAACGATGGGCCTGTGACCATAGAACTGGAATCCCCGGCCACCAGCGCCGCCACCTCTGATCCAAAACAGGTAAGCCCTGGAAGTCCTGAGTCAGGTCCCGGGGTCTGTCTTCTGGGTCCTCGTCATATCTGGTGGCTTTGATTTCAGCTCTGGAGCAGCCTTCAGTCCGAGGTGCAGGAGACACTTCATCACCATAGTTTTTAGTTGCTGTAGAGTCAGCTCTGACTAATGGCATCCCCATGTAACACAGAACGAAACGTCTGGGCCTGCTCCATCTTCACGATCGTTGGTATGCTCGAGTCCATTGTTGTGGCCACTGTGCATTGTGAGTGCCTTCTAACCTAGGGGCTCATCTTCTAGCACTATATCAGACACCAGGTCTTTCTTCCTAGTCTGTCTTAGTCTGGGAGCTCCACTGAAACCTGTCTACCATGGGTGACCCTGCTGGTATTTGAAATACTAGTAGCATAGCTTCCAGCATTATAGCAACACGCAAGTCACCACAGTATGACAAACTGACAGACAGGTGGTGGTCATCGCCATAACCTAGTATTTAATACATCCCTTCCCAAGAATGTTCAGCATGTCCACGCATCTGTTTACAGTGTACCTGTTTAGTGCACCTGTGGGCCTGGGGCAGCACTTCCCTCTTGCCTCTTCCTGCCTTTGAATTCCAGATATCTTGCCACAGAAAAGAAAATGTCCTTCTTAGAGCCCAGTTCTTCCTCTGGGCTCCTGTTCCCCTGGTGAGTTGCCATGCTCCCACGTGCCACTGGGTGGCAGCAGAGTAGCTGCACAACCTGACTGCCCTGGTGTGGCCAGGCACCTATTCGGAGTGGGTTACCTGGAGAAGGTTTTGTCACGAGTGTGGGGGAATGTGCTGCATGACGTTCTTCGTAAATCTTCATTTCTCTCTAGCAACATCTGACCTGAATTTGCTGCCAACTCTGTAAGCTTTCACAAAAAAATTTAAAAGAGAAAGGAAATCTGTAACAGTCCTTGCAACCTGTATGGATCTCATAGATGTTCAGCATACTTTTAAAGACTTTAATTAATGCTCCCACTCAATATCCTTTGAGACAGAGAGGCAGAGAAGTTAAGAGCTGAAGGGACATTCCTGCTCTTCCCAACCCCCCTCCCTACCTCGCTAGGATGCTGTGACTGGAGTGATGGGATAGCGATGGGGGAAACATTACATAAACCTAAAGCTGCATGACTTTTCAAAGCTTTGCTTTTTAAGGGGAACAGAGCCTTCCTTTTTTGTTACTGACTCTCAAGATTGATGCTGAGGCAGGTTCAGTAGTGTTAAATCTCAAAGGTTGTAATTGAGGATCCTGAATTATTGCTAACATTTAAAAAATTACAGATGAATAATCTACATGAAAATTTAAACTTTTCATTTGGAAATAATTTGAGACCTACATAAAAGTTGAAAAAATAGTCAGAGCTCCCATAAACTCTTTTACTCAGCTTTCCCTAATTTTAATGTCTTATATAACCACAGTACAATGATCAGAACACTGAAATTAATATTGATACATTACTGTTAACTGAACTACAAACTTTATTTGTATTTCAGTAGTTTTTTTTCTCTAATGTCCTTTTTCTATTCCAGGATCTAATCTAGGATGCCACATTGCATTTAATTGCCATTTCTCCTTAGTTTTCATCAATCTGTAACTTTTCCTCAGCTTTCCTCGGCTTTCATGACCTTGACACTTTTCAAGAGTACAGTTATGTGCCGCATAACATCCGTTTGGGCAGCATCCAGCCGCAAATACGTCCTTGGTCCCAAAAGGTTATAAAGGAGTTCAGAAATCCCAATCGGAAAATGGGACGTAGCACAAGTGACCACATGTAGCAAATGCAACAGCTTCCTGCAAGCAACATGTGTATCTCATGTCTTGTATACAAAGCTATTGTGCTGCCAGGTGTATAATGGTACATATGTAACCTATAATACACATGTCTTGATAGTCATAATAACACTTATGTTACTGGCTTATGTATATACTGTACTGTACTTTCTAATGTGAACTTAATGTGAACTATCCCTACTTACAGATAAGAGTTTACCGTATTACAGTGTATACTGTGACTCTTAGGCAGCAGCATCTGATGTGTATCGCGAGTCTCTTGTTTGTAGTAGCGTTGTCTCTCTGCTTAATTTTCTTTCGAAAATATTACCATGAAGTGCATCATGGCTCCCAACACAGCAAAACCGGTGCTAGTGATAGCAGCAGCAAGAGGCGAAGGAGACATATGGATGTGGAAGTGAAACAAAAAGTTATTAAACAACACAAAGGTGAATGCTATTGCTTACGATTTAGGCATGTTCGCACAAAGTTCAAATCGCATAACATCCTATTTCACAGAACGTACAGTGGACGTTAAAGGTGGATGTTAAACGATGCATGACTGTACCGGTCAGTTATTTTGTAGAATGCTCCTCTGTTTGGGTTTTCTGTGATCACGCTGAGGTTTTTCATCTTGGCAAGAATAACACAAAAGTGACGTGCCCTTCTTAGTGCATCATATCAGGAGGCACTTGATATTGATTTGTCTTATTACAGGTGATTTTAACCTTGATTACTTGGTTAAAATGGAATCTACTGGATTTCTCCACCCTCCATGAAGTGTTCATCTTCTTGTCTGTTCTCTTGCTCGGTCTCAGCAGATGACCTTCCTTTCTGCTTCGCAGAGAACAGAAGCTATTGGGTGGCGTTGACCCTACTTCCCACTACCAGACCAGCTCCTGCAGGCAGGCATCCATCTCCTCCTGTCTCCTCTTGTAGCAGAGCTGCCCTTCCCTGGCCCCGGGCCAGGACTGGCTGTGTAATTTGTGAGGTCTATTGCAAAATGAAAATGAGGGCCCTCTTGTTAAGAAATTATTGATAATTTCAAGACGGTGACAGAGCATTAAACAAGGGTGGGGCCCTATTGAGTATGGAACCCTGTGTGGCTGCCCTGGTCATGTGCCATGAAGCCAGACTGACTTGGACCTTAGAGCCCTCCCCTTTCGCCTCAACAGCTCAAACTAAGCCCTTTGTCCTCTTGTATAGTCAGTCTGTCTCTCCCTCACTTATCTGTCTTATTGTCTTTATGCTCAGGTATCTTGAGTTAAAAAAGTGTCTCTCTTCCTACTCACCCTACAGTGTAATCTGCCAGTGTTCCCGTCAAGGTCCCCAGGGACCTCCAGGTTGCTTAATTTCACGGCCATTTTTCAGTCCCACCTTACTTGACCACTCGGCAGCTCTTGCCACCGTTGCCCACTTCTTCCTGGTCACCTGGGAACTTTGTTTTCCACAACACCATTTTCTCCTGGTTGTTCCCGCTGGTGTTATTTGGTAATTGTGTTGCAGTTTTGCTTTATCATTATGCTTTAACTCTATTTGAAGAATAATTTTGGTCAAGTATTTTTTCTCTTCTAGATATTTTTCTGGAAATAGTAATGCATTATATCTTTAGGATAGTCAACCTTCTTTCCACTAGTACCCCTCTTTTCCTATTTAAAAAATAAAAACAAATAGGCATTTTTTTAACCTCTAGAGAGCCGTTGGTTAAGCATTCAGCTGCTCCTTGGAAACACTATGGGGCAGTTCTACTCTGTCCTATAGGGTCGCTATGAGTCGGAATTGACTCGACAGCGATGGGTCTCGTTTTGGGTTTAAAGAGCCATGTTAACTTATGAGGATAAAAATCCTTTAATTGTTTCTCAATCTTTTAGGAGTTTTCCCTTTAAAGGCATGAATTGTCCAGGTTGATTTCAATTGTTTGTAGCAGTTAACTGACACCCAGAAGTCTTAGACCCTAGAACACTGCATGAATCTCACTTGTTCCTCTAGTTCTCCAGTAGGTGGCGATGAGTAGGCACAGAAGGGGCCTGTGTTACGTTGTGGTGCTGGCATATGCCTGTGAGGTTGTGTGATGAGTCTATTTCTGCCTTTCCCTTCTCAGTGAGAAGGGGGTTCCTCTTTGAACAAATAGCTAATTTGTTTGCTTTTGTGTTGGTAGGAAGTCTACAGCCAAATTCTTTTTACTATAGATAAACATGCATTTCTGTCAACTGAGCTTTTAGTTCTAAGTTTTTATTTTCCCATTATAATCCAACTAAAAGTGAAACTGCATACATTACAGAAAAAATGGTTATTCTGGCAAGTTGTTTTTAGATCTAGATTCTTTAACCCATCTGAAGAACGTGTGTGTATATATGTACACAGATATATATCAGGTGTCTAGTTAGTATATGATGGTGTGCTGGACACTGTGAGGAAGAGACCAGTCCCTGTCCCCAGGGATAGAGTTAGGGCAACATAAATCTGAAAGGTTAATAACAGTGAAAGAGGTAAATAGCAGTATTGGACAGCTTAGGAAATGTCACAAGGCCGTCCATTTTGTGCTCCTCCTTACATCACTTCAGTGCCTTCCAGGTGCATTTTTATTGAAATCTACATTCCTTCCTGTCCTTTAACAAGGCTGTCTTCTGCCGGCCCTGTCAGCCTCAATCCCTACGCTTGACCTGTTCTTGCCTCCTCTCTGTTCTGAGAGTAGGTTGAGCTCTTTCCTCCCTCAAGGCTCATGTCTCAGTTGCTGTGTCTTCTCCTCAGAAGAGGAAATTCCCTGCCCCTTCAACAACAGGTAAGCTCCCACTGGCTACTCTGTCACGTTGCTCTGATGATTTCTTTTACAGCCCTTGGTACCATCTGTTATTATCTGCTGTTTCCTTGCTTCTCATGTGTCTACACCACTCCTAAAACTTAAACTCCATGAGTCTTGTTTACAGCCATCCCTGAAGGTCTGCGTGAGGTGTGTAGTTTGCTTTGGAATGGCGCATCATGGTGGTGTGCAGCACTGTCTGTGCATATCCTGAATTCCCAGGAGGCTGGTGCCACAGAGCTGGACACACCTCCCAGGGGACCAGAGGTTTCTGCTGGTTTTAAACGATACAGAGAGAAGCATTGTCAGTTGCTGTTTCTCAAACCTGTGCTTTAAATAGGGGTGGATTGTTATTTTTCCGAGTTCTAGGGCTCTGTTTGTGGGTGATGCAGCTACTGCTGCTGAAGACCAGG